GACACCATGAAAAAATACATAACAAAATGACAGCAACAAATTCAAACTTATCAATAATCACCCTGAATGTTAATGGATTAAATGCACCATTCAACAGTTCATACACATTATGTCTCATGACACTGACTGTAGTCCCCACAATGTAACAGCTCTCTTCCCACTTCCTCCCCGTGGTTACCTTTTTCCTGTGTCCTTTCCTATGCATTCCTGCCCTCTGAGCTAGCTCCCTGTGCAAGTGCTGTCCTTCTGATCTCCCATGGCTGACTATTCCAAGAGTGCACCTACCTGGGGTAATTATTCACCTTGTAGGCCTGGCTATTGTTTGGCTGGAGTTAAGCCATGGAGCGAGTTCAATTCCAGGCCTGAAGGGTGACCAGGGGGTTTCACCAGTCTGCATCAGACCAGTAAGCCTGGTCTCTCTCTCTCTCTTTATTACTTTTGAGTTTTGTTCCACATTTTCTCTCACTCCTCACTCTATCCAGGACCTCCAATTGTGACCCTTTTCTGAGTGGTCTGTTTGGGGGCAGCTTTTAGGTGACTAGTAACCTGTCTGAGATCACGTGGGGGACACTTACTCGGAACCACTTCAAATCTTGCTATTTTATAAAGTGAAAGGTCATATGGACCAATTTCCCAGCTTGAGGAAGAGGATGAATACACTTTTCCTGGAAAGGGGCCCCAGACTCAGCGTGAAGGCCTAAGGAGAGGAGACCCCACACCCCACAGGCAGCCTGCTGGGTGGTTTTCAGCGCCTCCGAGTCCCAAGGCCGCCTACCTGCAATTTCCTCCACTGGTCTCAGGCCTGTGGCCAGTGCAACATCATATCTGAAATCTTCTAAATGAAAGCAAGCCTTCAGCTATCTCAAGACAATGCCTACACTTGCCCTTGGTCTTCTCATCTCCATTCAATTCCCTTCCCTAAAAAGCCATGGTTTCCAGAGCCCTCGGTGCTTTGCTCCAAGATAAAAACAACTGTAACTACCTCCATACATTATGAAGCAAATTCCCTTTCATAAGTGTCCTTGAAAATACCAAAAAACAAATCAAAACAAGACAAACTCACTGCCACTGAGTCCATTCTGACTCATAGTGCCCACTGGGTTTCCAAGGCTGTAATCTTTATGGAAGCAGACTGTCTCATCTTTCTTCCACGGAATTGCTGGTGGGTTCGAACCACCGACCTCCTGGTTAGCAGGCAAATGCCTTCACCACTATATCACCAGAGCTCCCCTGAAAATACATCTACTGCTAAGGTCTAAACAGATGCTTTAACATGGCTTCCTTCCCCCACACTCCTGGTTAGAAAGAGCTACAGACTGAAAGCAAGGGTACCCTACTCACTGCCTCCCCCCAAGTAAGGGGGAGATCAGCCTCCAAAACAAGCATTTAGACACCCAGTGTTAGGGGCAGAACTTCCACTGAACAACAACAAAATTAATTACTAGAAAATTTTTCCCCTAAATTTTGTTTTGTTGTTCTTGAGAATACACACAGCAAAACAAAGATCAATTCAACAGTTTCTACAGGTACAATCTAGTGACACTGAGGACGTTCTGAGCTGTGCAACCCTTCTTTTCTGAGTTGTTCTCCCTCCATATAAACTCACTTACATTTCCAGCTAATCTCTCCAGTTGCTGTTGTCAATTTGATTCCATGTAGATAGTTCTTAAAAGAGCATACTGCTCAAAGCAGCCCTTTTTTATGTGTTAAGCTAAACTACTGTTTGGTTTTAAGATTTCAGAGAATACCTTTGCTTTAAGGTTTAAAGATTATCTCAGGACAATAGTTTCAGGGGTGCAGCTACCCTCCATGGCTCCAGAAAGTCTAAAATCCATGAAATGTTAAATTTTGTTATACATTTCCCCCCTTTTGATCAGGGTTTTTCTACGGAATCTTTGATCAAAATGTTCAGTAATGGTAGCTGGATACCATGCAGTTCTTCTGGTTTCATGGCAAAGGAGACAACTAATCACACATTCCACAACCTCCTCCTATTCCTGATTCTCCTTCCCCTGTGGCTCCAGGTGAACAGAGACCAATTGTTATGCCTTGAATGGCCACTTGCAAGCTTTTAAGACCCCAGGTACTATGCAAGAAATTAGGTGGAACAGAAGCACTGAACACATTATTAGGCCAGTTAACTGGGAGGTCCTACGAAATTATGACCCTAAGCCTCCAGACCAAGGAACCAAATCCCATGAGGTGTTTGGTTATACAGAAGCAGCCTCAGCAGCTACCTTTTTTATTGGTCAGCATTGTAAATATATAACACAGCTTTTGCCAATTCAACTTTTTATAGGTGGACAACTTTTTGAGAAGCTCTGGTGGCACTGTGGTTAAAGCACTGGGTTGCTAACCAAAAGGTTGCTTCAAATCCACCAGCTATTCTGTGGGAGAAAGTGGCAGTCAGCTTCTGGGAAGATTTACAGCCTTGGAAACACTATGGGGCAGTTCTACTCTGTTTCAGACAGTTGCTATGAATTAGAATCAACCTGCTGCTGATGGGTCTGATTTTTTGGTTTACAACTTTTTGATAGCAGTTGTGATATATTGGTTGTGCAATCCTAACCTTAATCAATGAGATTTTTCCACCATCATTAACTCTCCCTTTACTACTACCTTCTGCCCCTGGTAACCACTAATAAATTCTAGTCACTGTACATCTGCCCTTTTTTTAAAAAAAATTTGTTATTTGGGTTAAAGTTTACAGAGCAAATTCACCTTCCATACAGCACCTCACATATACTTTGTCTCATGACATTGACTGAAATTTCCCACAATGCAACAGCTCCCTAGCTCCCTTTCCACTTTCTCCCCATAGTGACCTCTTCCCTGTGTCCTTTCCCCTTATGTACTCCTGGCCCCCAAGCTTTCTCCCTGTGAAAAAACAGACCTTCTATTCTCCTATGATTGTTCTCTCCAAGGAGTGTATCTACCTAATGGAAATGTTCAGCTCATATGCCTGTCTTTTGTTTGGCTGGAGGCTACAGTAGTGTGTTCCATTACAGACCTGAAAAGGCAGCTAAAGGCCATAGTCTCAGTGGTACCATCAGTCTCTATCAGACCAGCAAACCTGGTCCTTTTTTTTTTTTCTCATGATTTTGAGTTTTGTTCCATGTTGTTCTCCCACTCTATCTAGGATTTCCAACATAGATCCCCGTCCAAGTGGTTGACAGTGGTGGCTGGGCACCATCTAGTTCTTCTGGTCTCATAGCCATATAGGCTGAGAATCGCAGGGTGTACCAGTTGCTTGGACTAACGGTTTCCATGTATCTTTGGTTTTTCTCATTCTTCTTTGCTCTGGATGAGGAGAGACCCATCATTGCATCTAGATGACATCTGCCCTTTTTTAAAATCTTTTTTATATAAAAGAGGTCATATAATATTTGTCCTTTAGTGACTGGCTTATTTTTCTCAGAATAATGTCTTTAAGCTCCACCCATACTGTATCAAGACTTCATTTCTGCTGCTGGCTGAGTGGTATTCCATTGTATGTTTAGACCCCATTTTGTGTATCCCTTCCTCTGCTGACAGGCATTTAGGTTGTTTCCTCCTTTTGGCTATTGTGAATAGTGCTACAGTGAACACTGGAATGCAAGTCTCTGCTTTCAAGTCTTTTGGATATATACATACATATATATATTTACAGCTAGGAGTAGAATTGTTAGGTCACATGGTAGTTCTATTTTTAGAGTTTTGAGGAACTGCCACACTGTTTTCCACAATGGCTGTACTATTCTGCATTCCCACCAGCAATGGATAAGGGTTCCAATTCCCCCACATCCTTGCCAGCATTTATTCATTTCTAACATTGGCTGTCCTAGCAGGAGTGTACCAGTATCTCGCTGTGGTTTGGATTTGCATCTGTCCAATGGCTGATGAGGCTGAGCCTCTTCTCATGTGTCAGTGGCCATGTGAATGTCCTCTTTGGTGAAGCATCTATTTGAGTCCTTTGCCAAGTCTATGATTTTGGCTTATTTATCTCTCCGTTGTTAACCTGGTAAAGTTTTATACGTATTTTGGCTGTTAGATTCTTGTGATGTACGGTTTTCAAAGATACTCTCCCAGTCAGTTTTTGGGAAAGTTGTTTGAAGAACAAGTTTTTGATTTTCATAAGGTCCCATTTATTTATTTGTCTTTCACTGTTTCTGCTTTTGTTATTGTATTTGATAATCTAATGTTGAAAGCAAGCCTGACAGCACTGTCTCTGTTTCTTCTTCTAATAATTTTGTGGTTTTTGTTTCCACGTTTAGGTCCTTCATCCATTTTGAATCTGTTTTTGTGTATGGTGTGAGGCAGGGATTAAATTTATTTTTTAAAACTTTGTCAATAGATAGTGGTGACAGTTGCACAGTATGGTGATCTAATTAACGCCACTGAATTATACCCATAAGTGGTTGAAAAGGCAAATGTTTTGTTATAGATAACAGCTATAAACATCAATTTTAAAATCCACACACATATATATATATATAAATCTGAAAGAACAATATCTGTGTGGCAGGTATGTTGTTAGATTAAATAAGACCCACTGAGAGCACCCAGCACTGGGCCTGACACATCACCGGGACCTCCACCATCCAACGCTGGTGACATTACAACGTCCCTCCCGACTCTCGAGCACATGAAAGCAGACCTGACAACAAAGGGCAACTGGGAGCAGGGCCACCTCCTGAGTGCCCTCCCCTGGAGGGGGCCTGAGCCACAGCAACAGCAGCAGAGCGTCTGCCCCTTGCTTCCATCAAGTCTCCCTCCCATCCCTGGCCCTGGCAGATGAACACTGCTTTGCAGACTGTAATGGCCCAACCAGCACTCATACCTTGAACACGTTCTCACTGTTGATAAAGCCAAACCCTGAGAAGGTGGACTGCAGGTTGTTCAATGCCTGTGGAGGAGTGAGAACACATCAAGGGTGATGTTTAAATCTCTGCCCTTCCTGCCCCTCTTCCTAGAGTCCAAGCCGAGTACCCCCCTTGAGCCCTCGTCTCCATCGGCCTGTAACCTGGCAGTGCTGGGCACACGTTGCCCACTCTGGGCAGCTTGGTTCCTGTGTGGCAGTCACTGCCCTCCGCCCCTCAGAGCAGCCCAGTGGCCCACACCTGAATGGAAACGGCCGCACGTACCTGCCTCATGTCTCCCTGGGCAGTAAAGATGATGGCTTCCAGGCCATCGTCCGTGTACGGCACCTTCTCTTTCTCGATCACACTCATCAGCCTCGCCAGGATCTGGGCATCTGTCAGCTTCGTGTAGCGGAGCACGGCACACCGGGACTGAATGGGCTCTGAACAGAGATAGCAAAGAGGGAGGTGTCCCTGGCAGCCGACAGGAAGCAGCTACACAGGGAGGTGCCAGGCCCTCTGGGCAGATACAATTCAGTCAATCTGGGCTAGGAATGGGTCCCTGTGTGGCTTCTTTAAGCTTCAAAGGAGACTGAGTGCAGCCACAGCTGAGAACTCTGCACAGACAAATGCAGAAGCCTTCACCTTCGGTTTAGACTGTTACAGTAGCTGCTCTGTGAACTGCAAGCCCTAGCCTGACAGCCCTCTGGCCCACACTCTGCACTCCTGCTAAGCTGGCCTTCCTAAGGAGGTTCTGACTCATCACCTCTTCCTGCCAAGACAAACCCTACAGTAGCCCTTGTAGCCCAGATCTTAGCTTTGTAGGTAAAATCTTCCCCCAACTTCATCTCTCTCCACCCTCCTAAACCTGGCTCTGGTCCCTTGTCTCTCTGGAACAAACTGACTATACACTCGCCTGGCAAAGTTCTTCCCACTTATGGGGCCTCTTGTCCAAGTTCTTCTGTTTTAATCACAACTATCTCTGAAAGCTTCTCTCAAACCCAGCACCTCATGCAGCTGTTCCAGACCACCTGGACTACAGCAACTCTCCTTTGCTCTCACAAAGAACGTGTAATCCTGTTCATTTATTGGTAGAAAATGAAATGGTGACCTCCCTAGTGGTCATGGGGCAGAAAGAGGTGAAACAGGGAAGTCACAAGAGTGCAGGGTGGGGCTACGAAGGGGTTCATGGGAACACACTGGAACCCAGACATAAGAACCACCAGCTTGGCCTGGAGATGAGGCTCCCCATGGAGGCGAGTTCTGAACTGGGTGGTGGAGGGTGAGGCTTCCCTGGCTGGAAAGGCAACGCAGACAGAGGGAACAGCAGCTTCAGAGACCAGTGAGGAAAGGGCAGTGAGTCCAGGACATGGCAAGATGCTACACGGCTGCAGGGTGGAGAGCTGAGGCTGTGGGCTGCCGGGACCCCACGCGAGAGGCACATGTCTCGGTCAGCAACGGCAGACCACAAAGGCCTAGTGTAGCAAGTCAACCTTGTGCTTAGAAGACCGCCCAGCAGTCACGTGGCGACTACAGGTGTGAGAAGCCAGGGGACACTGTGCCAGCCAAGGCAAGAGAAAGTGAGGCCACAGACCTGGGTGAGAGAAGGTGGCTCAAGAGACACTGCTGAGCTGGGACGACCTGAGACTGGAGTTTGGTGAGAGGCTGGCTACTGAGGTGAGTGGAAAAGGAGGACTTGGGATGGCTCAGGTGTGCGGCTCTGGGGATTCCCCACTCCTATCTGCGTGCGCTCGGGGTGGGGGTGGGGGTGGGGGTAGGGCCTGGGGCTCGGACACAGAAGACACTCTGTACATAAAATGGTTCAGTGTCTGTCAAGTGACAAGATGCCGCGAAGAGCCCCCCTCCTAAGAGCTAGTCCATTTCAACTCATCTTCAATCAGGAAGCATCACATGGAACCTTATTTGCATGTTTAGGATTATTGGGCAAAGAAAAGATGTCACAGAAACGGGAGTTCAGATCTAAAAGCGACTGATGTTCAAACACAGCTATAAGCTTCCTTTGCTAGTTTTTCTCATTGTGCAAGAACCAAAAACTCAGCTCACAGCATTGAGACATATTTCAGAGGAAGATAGCCATGGCCTTCCTCAGAGAACACGTGCCTCACTCGGAACTGGTGTGACTCTAGGAGCCAAGGGAGGCGCTGTCTCTCAAGAGTTTCAGAAATCAAACCTGCAGCCACCTGACCATGAACCACTTCCTGTAAGTGGAGAAATACATTTAAGATCTCATTCACGTTTGTATATCCCTTTAAAACTAGAGCAGAATGCTCTACGTATCAGGAAATTTAATTTCATGGAAAGGGAAGGTGGTGATGGTTAATTTTATGTGTCAACTCACCTGGGTGGTTCTCATGAGTTTGGTTATGCCAAACAGTAGACTAGCTGGTGTTCCATCATGTAATCTAATGCAACATGATGTAATCACCTTCCACAGTGTAATCAGTAGAATGTAATCAATCAGGGAGGCATCCCTTGGGGTGTGGTCTGCCTTCAGATTATAAATAGGTACGTCAGCAGATCTCTTGGCTCTGCACTCATCCCATCACCCAACCTATGGATCTTGGGACACAAGTCTGCAGAAAGGTCCGGCCGGCACCTGACCCATGGATTTTAGACTTTGCAGCCACCCTGACTGTGTGAGCCAATTCCTTGAGGTAATCAGTCAGTCTTCTCTCTCTCCCTGTCTCTCTCTCCATCTCACTGCTTCTGTTTCTCTAAGGAACCCTAAGACAGAAGGGCAGAGTTTTCTTGGCCAACAATGGCAGTTTCAAATCACTGAACAAATTCATTAACATCCAGCACTACGCCAGCTGCATTGGGGGAGGGGGTGTCTATAAAAGTGTCCTGCTTTGAAAGGTCTGCTTTACCACCAGTTAAGGAGACAAGCTACACGCACATCCCTACATCAAAACTGTGTACTAGCTTTCTCCTTGATCCCACTGGTGTCTTGAGAGTACAAGGTGTTTCTCATTAACTTTCTACTCTCAGCATAGCATTTGACACCTACCAAGAACAGAGAATGTGTTTGTTGAATGAATTAACAAACAAATAAATGACTATGTAGGGCCCATAGAAAGACATAAAGGATTCCTGGCAATACTGAGGCTGGAAACCATGACTTTGTGGGGACATGTTTGTCACGTGTTTACCTGTAGCAGTGCACAGTTGCCTGGGTGCAGAAGGGAAGTCAGGTGGGTGACCTCACACGTGCCAGGGCTCAGCAGGAGAGAGGTGAGGCAAGGACAATGGGACAAGGGAGCTGCTAAAAGTGGTGGGAGAGAAGCCTGGCAGTGCCTCCAGTCTAGATCAGAAACGGAAGGACATGAAACCAGCGGGAAGTTCACAGACTCCGAGCAGTGAGGAAGTGAACAGGCTGCTGGGACGGAGGGCGGGCGGGAGCTGCAGCTGCAAGGACAAAACGCCACAGCCAGAGAGAAGACAACGTTTAGAACTTCACAGGAGTGCAATTCCTGTAACAACAAAGCCCAGGGCGCAGACACAGTATATGCTGAGCGCTCGAGGCAACGAGAAGTGTAAGAGCGCATTTGGAGAGGAGCAGCAACCAAGACACATGCCCAAGGCATCAGAAACGTCACGTGGGCCCAAGAGAGCACAAATCAGACAGAGGCCACAATCACAGCTCTTCCACTTGCTCTGTGGCTTTGGGCAAGTGACTCAACCTTGTGAGCTCCAGTTTCCTCATCTCTAGAGTGGAGCTGATACTACCTCTCCCAGAATGGTATAAAGACTAAATGAGAAGTGGACCGCACAGTGCCTGGCCCTACTCTTCCATGACTAAAGGGCTGTGCAAGCACCGTGTGAGCCCCAGGTCACCCAGAGCTCAGCCCACCTATGATTTTATCCGAAGCGTTGCAAGCGAGAGCAAAACGGGTTGTTTTGGAGTAGATTTCCATGGTTCTCCTCAAGGCCTGCTGGGCGCCATCCGTCATGCTGAGAGGAAAAACAGAGCGAGGTGTTTGCAACTGGGACCCGACGCCCACTGGGCACAAAGCTCTCCCTATAAATAATAATCCGGGACATAGGACACGTCTCACCCTACAAATGCTAAAACCCACAAGCCCCACTAAGACTGACTGAGCAGACTGACTGCCCAGGTGCACAAAATCCCCATCGGCAGTGGCTGCACCCACACGTGGAGGAGTCAGGCCTCCCTTTAGCTCTGCCATGATGGAAACCCAAGAGAACAGTCTTATGACATCAGCTGCCAACATTTCTAATGAAACGCCAGGAGCCCTGACCCCCTCACTGAGCATGCTCAGCTCTCTCCAGGGCCCCCACAAGGGTCTTCCGCAGGCAGGCTCTACAGGCGTGAGCAGAAGCCCTGCAAGCCCGTGCTGCCGGTGTGACCCTAGGTCTCAGTGTCATCACCTGTTAACATGGACAGAAAAATACTGTCAAACTCAGAGGGCTGTCGTGACAATTAAACATGATGCTAACACCCAACAGCCAAAAGCAGGGAGCAACCCAAGTGTCCATCGACAGGTGAATGGATAAACAAATGTGGTACACCCAGACAACGGACTATTATTCAGCCTTAAAGAGAAAGTCCTGGTACGTGCTAGGACATGAAAGAACCCTGAAAGCCTACGATGACTGCAATGAGCCCTTCGTCAAAGGGCAAATATTGTATGATCCCATTTATATGACACATCTGGAAGGGACCAATGCAGAGACAGGAAATTATTGGGTGCTGGGTGAGGAAGGAATGGAGGGTTAGGTTTAATTGGTACAGAGTTTCTATCTGGGGCCATGAAAAGGTTTTGGAAACAGTGGTGATGGTTACAAAATTATGACCCTGACTAATGCCACTGGGTTGTACACTTAACAATGGTGAAAAAAGCAACTTTCATGTCCTATACATTTTACCACAATAGAAAGACAGAAATAACAAGAACAAAAATGTAACATGTAAAGTGATTAGTAGCATGGCTGGGATACTATAGGAGCTCTGGTAGCACAGTGCCTAAGGCATCTGACTGCTCACTGGAAGGCTGGCGGTTCAAACCCACCAGCCAGTCCATAGAAGGAAAATTAGGCGATCTACTTCTATAGTGATACCGCCTCGGAAACTCAAGGAGGGGTTGTTATGAGTCAAATCGACTCGACGGCAATGAGTTTGGTTTTTTTGGACTATAAACACTTACGTGTAGACATTTAATAAGAGTTCAATATATGTTAGCTGCTGTTACTACCATAAACAATATCACAGTCAGAAGGTTAAGGCATATCCACACTATGGAATATAACCCAGTATTAAAGACCATGTCCACAAGGTCACAGGGCTATGGAACACTGCTCTTAACTTCAAAGGAAGAACGAGGATCCAAAAATATATATGACAGTCTCAACTATGTCAAAAATACATAGCAGTAAGAGAAGAAATAAAGCAAGGTATTTCCAATATTTTCTAAGTTTTCTTCAAAAAACATGGATTACCTTTATAGTTTTTTAAAATGTCATTAAAATTTTTCATTTAAATCGTTTGTGTCAGTGATGCTAGGACAAAGAGTAATAAGTCATATAATACACACAAGGTCTAAGGGTCCCACCCACCACAAAAGTGCAAAATCCTCCTAATTCAACTGAGCTCTGTAAGGGTTAGAGATCAAGGTCAAAACATAACTGGCAAAGCACTCTACCTGTCTGCTTCGTCCAGGATGATGATCTTATGCCGGCCTCTGGGAAGGGTCACTTTCTGTTGGGCAAACATTTTGATTTTATTCCTCACGACGTCAATGCCTCTGAAACAGGAAGCCAGAATTTTACCGTCACCTTCCAACCAAGACAAATCCCATTTCCTTCATGAGCACTTTTAGCTCCCAGTCCACCAACAGGGACTACTGGACCCAATGTAGTTTTGAGTTTCTTCTTTGGGCAAAATGCTAATTATCTGCAAAGACTGGTATTTAATGACTTATATTCTATTTTAGCAGTCTTCCAAAGAACAAAGAAAAATTGACTGAAAAAAAAAAAAAGCAAACCAGAATAAAACTCATTTTATCTTGCAATTAAGGAGCTCTGGTGGCATAGTGCCTAAGGCACTTAACTGCTAACCAGAAGGCTTACGGTTCAAACCCACCAGCTACTCCTCAGAAGGAAGAATCTACTTCCATAGAGATACTGCCTTAGAAACCCAAGGAGGGGTCGCTGTGAGTCGGGTCCGACTTGATGGCACATAACAACAACAACTAGTATTCAGTATCTGAGAAATAAACCAGCAAGTCTAGGGCTTATGGGACCACGCTGACAAGCAAGCAGGTCTCAACCCCTTTCACCGGGAAGGAAGAAAGAAAAGCATGCCACTGGCAAGGCAAGCACCAGTCCAACAAGGAGCCCAAAACAGGCCACGTCGCCAAGAATTCAAAATGCCAAACGCTCACCACCCTTCGGTCCCCACTCCCGGACGCACCTGTCATTGGAAGCATTGAGTTCCAGGACGGCGTCCTTAAGTGCTGGGCCCAGCAAGGCTCGTGCCAAACACAGGATGCTGGTAGTTTTCCCAGTTCCTGGGGGCCCCTAGGAATGAGATCCCAGTAAGAGCTTCAAGCCACCAGAATGAACTCAGTGTATCTCCTGCTTTGCTTACATTCCCCTCCCTTCAACCCACCGCACCCCAGGCCACAGGGAATCAACCCAGCCACCACCCCACAGGTCTCATGAGGAACTTGGTGAAACGTCTCCCTTCACTGAGGGGAATAAGGGCTGGAGCGATAAAGGGCCTCTCTGAGGAGGAAGTACTGTCACTAAAGCACCTAAGTGGACAGTGAAAATGCAACTGGGAGACAAACGAAAACACCAGGACCAGGACAGAGTACTTACGGCAATTATAATGTTGGGCACATTCCCTTCTCTTGCAAAGACCTGAGGAAGAAATGTTCATGAAAACTGGTTAATCGGTAAACCTTAGGGGTGGGTCCCCCCAGCCATACAGACCCACGTAAGCATAGCTATAAATTTCTCCAAATGGACGCCCCCTAGAACTCTCACCTCAGCATGTTCAAACTGAACTGACCACTGTTCCCCAGAAACCCAGGGCCCCGCCCACGTTTCCTCTTCTGAGGACTGTCAGTGCATCAACCCAAGCGCTTACATCCAGAACCTGGAGGTCAGCATCAGCGTGGACTTGGCCTTCTCCCTTGGCCCACGCAGCAGCTCAACAACCAGGCTTGTGTGTTCTTGTCCCCGTCTTTTCAAAGCCCACAGACTTTCCCTCAGTCCCACTGCCACTTCCTCAGTCCATTATCTCTTGTCCAGTTGCTTTCAACAGGCCATTAACTGGTCTTCTTGCTTCTCAACTTACCACACTCCAATCCATTTCCCACACTGTAACCACAGCCTTCCTTCTAAAATGCAATCATTTTTAAAAATGTACCTAACTGACCAAAGATGCATGGAGACAATTAGTCCAAGGGACTAAATGATCCTCAGCCTGTAGAACCGAGACCAGAAGAACTAGAGAGTGCCTGGCCACCATCAACCACTTGGAGGGGGATCTCTGTAGGAAACCCTGGATAGAGTGGAAGAACAATGTGGAACAAAATTCAAAATCATAAAAAAAAAGGAACAGGACAAGATTTGCTGGTCTGATAAAGCCTGGTGGAACCCCTGAGACTATGGTCCCTAGCTGCCCTTCAGGTCTGGAATTGAACCCACTTGTGTGACTTCTAGACAAATAAAAGAGACATATGAGCTGAACATTCACATTAGGCAGACACACTCCTTGGGGAGGTCAATCATGGGAGAAAGAAGGGCTGTGTATACACAGGGAGACAGCTCAGGGGCCAGGAGTACATGGAGGGAAGGACCCTGGGAAGAGGTGGCTATGGAGAGGAAATGGGAGGGGCGCTATCGCACTATAGGAGACTGCAGTCAATGTCATGAGACAAAGTGTATGTGAACTGCTGTATGGAAGATGAATTTGCTTTGTAAACTTTCACCCAAATCACAATAAAAATTAAAAAAAATAAAAAAATAAAAAAGTACCTAACTGAAACCTTTGGACAACACCTTACTGCCCCCAACATGAAGCTTAAACTCTTCAACAGAGCCCACAGGCCCTACACAGCCTGGATTCTTTCTCAATAAACCCTAAAACACAGCACTGGCCGGTGCAGACATAACTACGCTCAGCTGCTAACCAAAAGGCTGGAAGTTGGAGTCCACCCAGACGTATCTCAGAAGAAAGTCCCGGCAATCTGCTTCTAAAAAACCACCCCGAGACCCTCTGGAGCACAGTTTCCTCAACGCACATGGGGATGCCATGAGCTGCGCTGACTTGACAGCAACTGGTTCTTTGGATAGCGTGTCACTCCAAGTGGGGGGTCCCTGGACCAGGAGAATCAGCATTGTCTGAGATCGTCAGGTGAGCAGAACCTCCAGCCCCACTCCACAGCTACTGCATCAGAACCTGCATTTTATCAAGACCCCCAGGAGTCACACGCCCGTGAATGCTTGAAAAGCACCACCCTGTATCCCAATCAGATGACATGTGTTCCCCACAACAAGCCGAACTCCCTCACACCCATGCCTTCGCATGTGCTATTCCTTCTGCCCCCCATTATCCCTGGCCCCTCCAGTGTAGCTAACTCCCACTCATCCTTTAGCTCTGGGGTCACTTCTTCCACTTGGGAATTCAGATACTCTAAGCAGGCTACTCCTCCTCTTCCTCCTAAATCTAGAGTCGGGGCTCCGGCCATGTGTTCCCACAACCCCTGACCTTCCCCCTGCAGAGGGCTGACCGCACTACCTGCTGACATCAACGTAGCCCCCACTAGACTCTCCATCCCACATGGGCACGTTCCTGATCACATTAACGGTTCCTGACACTGTGTCTGGCCCACAGGAAGGTAATCAAGTATTTGTTAAATCAAAAACAACTGGATAGCTATTAAAGTCTAAACCCCCATTGACTTCAGAGACTACTTCCATCATGTGTCAAACAGCTGGGTTTCCAGACTCTTCCTGAAGACCTCTGGGGCTGGAAATTCCAGGCCTTCTGGGACAGCCCCACTCGCTCCACTGCTAGACACTTCTGCCTGTTAGGAAAGCCATCCTCATGTCAACTTGAATTTTGCTGCCCGTCAGCCACACAGTTTTCATTTTGTCCTCTAGCAGCGATCAGCAGACTCTGGCTCGGGGGTGGTGGGGAGGGTCTGCTCTTGTCATTCTCCAAGTTAAGAATGGTTTTTACATATTTAAAGGTTAAGATCTGGCCCCTTTATGGAAAAAAGTGTGCCCTCTTTGCTCTAGACGAACAGAGAACAAGTCTGACAACACCCCCCCAAACGCCAGCCCTTCAAACATCTGAAGTCATCCTCCACAACTCCCAGGCTTCTCCCAACCCATCATCTCCCAGCTCTTCAATTCTTCCGGATCCATGGTTTGCCTCCCCATGGTTATCCTGCCCGTCTCCCTCCAGGTGCACTCATTTGTCAAAGCCACAAGCCCATCTAGTAAACAGTCAGTCACCTCCAGTCTGCTCACAGTATCTTCATTCCCAACAATTTCATTCAGCTTTACTGGTCTATACTTTTCAACCCTGTTGGGGGGGAGAAAAAACATAAAAAGGTCAACATGGTTATTTTCACACTACTCAAAAGAAAGCATGAAAGGGCTATCCTCAGAACTTGGTCAGATTGTATACATTGAATAAAACTATGCCAAATAGTTGCACACGTTAAATTCAACCCAAGTGTCATTTGACAGGTTAAGTGCATGAGAACTGCACACCAAAGGCTTCCAACTTGCCAAAGCACAGAAACACCTGTTGTTGCTGGAGAAAGGTGAACGGGCCATCTGGAACAATGTGACAGTGTGTGCAACATGGCCTGCCTGTTACACAGAGGCCCGGCACACCCAGCACGGCCAGCCTTCGCTCTGACAGACGTGGTCCGGCACTGCCCCTTCCTCAACCCCTAGAGCCCGTCTCAGCAGATGTGGACCAATTCTCAGCTGGGCTAGCTGAGCAGAAAACACAGGGTTACCCTGTGGTCCCATGAGGCTGGTGGAGAGAGGACAGGCCAGTGGTCCCTTCAGACCAGTGGTTTCCCTTTTGAAACTGTCAGGTAAGCTGTTAACAGAGGAGTCTTCCTCCAGCGCTTTGAACACAAGTGGCAGGAGCCTGGCTGTAACGTCAGTAGCAGGACTTCCTCGGACCTTTATAAACACCCTGGCTTGCTCTGTTTGCACGCTGTCTAGGAGCTGCAGGTGAAGACACTCATTTGTCACATACCACACGACAGTGCAGTAAGTTATCATGCACTTCATTTAGAGATTTTCTCTAGTCAAGAGGGGTGCAGTGGAGAGGTCAGGAGTAAACAATTACCACGGACTTGGAAAGAGTTCTGAGGTGTGCACCTAGGGCATAGGGCAGGAATGGAGCGTGCAAACGTACGCAAGCCAGCGAGAAGTTTTTCTCGAATCTCCCTCCCCCCTCCCCCAGCTACCCAAGGGGCTGTTATTTAAAGCAGCAAGAAACAGAAAGGCATCCAGCACCTTCTCCACACAACCTGCGTCTGACCCTTCCTAACGTGTGACAATCAGAGATGCCCCTGCACAGGTAGTGACCAGGGCAGAGCAGGCGGTCAGACGGGGTGGCTGTGTTTTGTTTACGGAATTTGAACTGGGTATTTTATTTTTCATGTGTAACCAATACCTTGAAAATGTTAATAAGTTAATCCTCAAAAACAAGGATGATTAATATTAGTATGCATGCCAAAAAGAAATGTAATATATCCTCCTTGTCTTTTTAAAACTTACTGTGGCAGATATATACCTAACAAAACATTTGCCATTTCAATCATTTTCACACGTAAAATCCACTCATGGGCAGTGATTTCATCCACCACTCACACAAAATACCCTTTTCTGAATTATTCCACCGCCCTAACACCGTGCGGGTGATTAATGACTTCCCCTCAGCTCCACCCCCAGTGATCACTAGTAACCTTGACTCTCCTCCTTTGTCTGGTTCATATAGGTGGATTCATACAATAGGTATCCTTTTGTGACGGGCTTATGGCACTCAGCATGTTTTCAAGGCTCATCCCTGTTGTGGTGAGCAAGCATCATGGCTTCATTTCTCTTTACACCAGAGTACTATCCCCTGGCGTGTATGTATCACATTTTGTTAATCCATTCATTTGTTGACGGGCATTCGGGGGTGGGGGGTTACTTTAATCAGCATTTTTCCCACGGAGACTCTTCCAGGGTTCAGGCCGGCCACTCTCCACCCCAGGTGGGTTCAGCGACACAAGTCCCTCGCCTTCACCAATTAATAATCCCCTCGCCAGCACGCCGGGCCGCCTCCGCCCCTCAGGATCCCCCCCAAAACGAGCTCTCGCCCTTGGGCCTTAAGAATGAGCCCCGCCATCGCCCCAACCTCATGCCGAGATGCACCCATTATTTATGGCCTGGGTCCTCACCACGGCAGCTCGTAGTGACTGGCACTGCTAGAGGCCTTGCTGGGTGCAGGGGCTGTATCCTGGGCCACGACCTCGGCCGCGCCACTGCCGCTTTCCTGAACCTCCATTCTCCCGCTGTCTCTTCGCGCCGCCCGAGGGCCCGCCCCTGACGTCATCACGCAACCCTGAGAGACGTCGAGAGCGAGCGGAAGCTGCGTCCCTGACCTTTTCTGCGCCTGCGCGGAGGGAATAGGCGTGACGGGCGTCCGATAGCACAGACTGGGTTTGCTGTGGGAAGAGTGGCGACCGGTCTAGGAGTGAGCAGAAGACGGTACTCGTTTGCAGGCAGGTCACTCCAGGAACAGATTGTTTTATTTTCGTTTTCGTGTAGTTTGTCTGCTCAATCTGCGCGACTGGAGCAGGCCTGGCCGGGTAGGCGTATCCAGTCCCGGGCCGGGAGGAGTAGTGTCTTGTGGGCTTTTTTGCCCAATGCGGGACCGTGACGCGCGGACGTGAACAAGTACGGGGGTCCTGGGCGGCGCAAGGCTGGAGCCGACGTCTGGGACCTGCCTGTGCCGTGTTCTGGATTTTTCAGAATGCCTAATACCAGCTCCAGATTGGGGAGCTCTTGCACCCGGAACCACATTTGGTATTTGACTTTTATAAATGGGGAGTTCTCACGACGCTGCGAGATGGGAATCATCTGTCCCGCCGTCAGATGTGACCCAATTTTTATTCCAGGAAAAACACCACACCAGTTGTCAGCCAGTCGATTCCGACGCATGGCGACCCTGTGTATGTCAGTAGGACTGTACATCGTAGGGTTTTCAATGGCACGTCTATATGATCCCAAACTTCCAACCTTTCAGTTAACAGCCAAACATGTTAACTATTAGCATCACTCAGCTGCTTCTTCAGAAAAAGCCAAAACCCAAACTCACTACCATGCACTCGATTCCAGCTCATAGCTACCTTAATAGGACAGAATAGAGCTGCCCCATGGGGTTTCCAAGGCTGTAAGTCTTTACAGAAGCAGACTGCCTCATCTTTCTCCTGCCAAACAGCTGATGGATTCGGACCTTTTGGTTAGCAGCTGAATGGCTTAACCACTGCTCCACCAAAGCTCCTTTCTAGAAAAATAGGTACTCCATACAAGGGCCTTCAGCATTCTTTCGGGCTGTTTTTCTACTGTTGAACTAGTCTTTGCTCCATAACCCAAATGTTGTCATCCTATCACTGCAACCTCCTGTGCACCCCGAGGTAAATATTTCTGCTCTCCTGATTTTGTAGATGAGGAAACCAGCTCAGAAATGAGTGACTAACTTGTCTAGTGTCACGTAGGTTCTAAGTGGTGGAGCTGCGGTTCTGCGTGGATCATGTTGCCCAAGCACTCAGTGTAAAATCCTGTTATTGTTAGAGATTGCTGAAACTCTCCAGACTATGGCCCCTAGTCAGCCTTCTGGCCTGTAATTAAACTCACTCCCGTGGCTTCCCGCCCAACACTAGACAGGAGAATAAGGTGAACATTTACCCCAGCCGGGTGTGCTGCTTAGATCAACCATGGGAGAATCAAACTAAACCAAACTCACTGCCATGGAGTCAGATCCGACTCATAGCAACCCCCCATCTTGGGTTTCTGAAGTAGTATCACTATGGAAGTAGATTGCCCAATTTTCCTTCTGAGCACGGGAGAACAGAAGGGCAGTGTTTGCACAGGGAGGCAGCTCAGAGGACAGGGATACATATGACAGGACACAGAGAAAGGGTAACTGCAGGGAGGAAGTGGGAAGAGAACTGTTAGATCATGGGGGTTGCAGTCAATTTCATGAAGCAAAATGTATATGAACTGGTGTATGGAAATGAATTTGTTCTGTAAACTTTCACTCAAATCATAATTAAAAAAAAAATCCTATTACCTGACTTGCCATATTGCATTATAATTTTGAGGTGAAACTGGCTTTAATGTCTGCTGTGTTGTTGTTATGTGCTGTTGAGTCGGACCCGACTCATAACGACCCCTCCTTGGGTTTCCGAGGCGATATTGCTACGGAAGTAGATTGCCCCATCTTCCTTCCAAGCAATGGCTGGTGGTTTTGAACCGCCAGCCTTCTGGTTAGCAGTCAACTGCCTTAGGCACTGAAGGCCTATTTATTTCTCTCTCTGTCCAGTGCTTAGCACAGGACCTGGCATGCTGTGAATGTCCCATTGAGAGTCTGTAATGAACAGTGGCGACCATGTATGTTTCCAGAACAGTGAGGGTCAGCTGTGAGCAACTGGATTGCTTTCACCAGAGGTCTGATAAAGCCCTGTGGCTGTTGTCCGTTCATCATTGGTCATTATTTGTACAGATCACAAGCAAGACCCTTCATCTCCCCATCATTGGAATAAACACGAGCACCAGGATGTAGATTGCAGGAGATAGCTTTCTGTGTCAGTCCTTTCCCTTTAGTTGTCTTCCCCACCGTCCCACCCCCAGGGAAAAAGAACCCCTGCCCATTATGGAAATGTGTTGGGGAAGCCTGTCTGGTGGTTAGGTTCATTTTTCCGGTGTGAATCCACCCTCCGTTTTTCCAACCTGGTGCTGAGCTCCTGGAGGACCCGGTCCTTGCCCCCTGCTTCTTCGTTTCTTCTCTTTGTTGCAAGGCGCTGAGCTGATCTCTGCTAAGCGAGGCAGTTATGCTGCCGGGCTAGCCAGGTCCGAGCAGTGACTGCCCATTTACAGCTATGCCCTGTGAGATGACCGGAGAGCACTAGCTGCCTCTTCTGCAGTTGTATCCAGTTGTTGAATCTCAGGACCCGGATTCAGAAGCAGTTTGCTTTAATGAAGGTAATTATCGAAGACTGCAGGCTCCGAACTTCTCAGTGTTTTTCTTCTCTCTTTCTGTATAATTTGGAAAAGGTGCTTGAAGTTGGCTGTGTCTCATGGAACCATCTTACATATCTAAAAAAATAACACTATTCACAGGTTCTTTTTCTGGAGGAGAAAATAGACAGTTTTCTTGAAATATCTTTGGGACTTTTTTCTTGAGATATTTTTCTGTATGCTGATGTTCATGTTTTCCTGTAGTCAGTTATCTTTCCCTCACACACAAACCTCTAACCACATACACCATTTGTAAACGGAATGTTTTCAATCAACATGCAAAACAGTATATAATACTTTCTCCTTTAAACCCACGCAGCAAGAGGTCCTTTGGTGCTGCCAGGACTCCGCTGTGACTGCTGTGCTTGGAATACCAGGACGGTGAGAGAAGGAGGTGGCCTTTGGGGCCAAATTGCACTATCAGGACATTTTTCTGTAAACTGAGCCTTCTGTGGCTTGTTGGACTTGAGCCCGGACAGGGCTCAGAGCTTAATGCTCCAGCCTGTCCCCTGGGGCCAGAACAGCAGCCGTGTTGTGGCTGGGTCCCAGGGAGGGCTGGGGAAACCACAGACTCCTGTGAAAGGCCGAGGAGGAGCTGTGGTGACTTCCTCCTCTCCGGCCGGATCTGTGAGATCCCAGGAAATGGAATTCCCACCCAGGCGAGGGCTCAGATTGTTTTGTGGCAGAGAGCAAGGCAGTTACACCAGAGAGGAAGAATGTGCGGAGGACTTCCAATCAAATGAACCAACAGGGCAGGCCACAGACCTTGGCTACCAGGACAGCCTGCCTTACCGTTGGAGTGCAGCCAGCTTCCTGTGACGTAGGATGCAAGGCCAAGGCTCCGGTTGCCTCCAAGATGGGAGCTACCAGATAGCGCCCCCACTCACACACACACTGGGGGCCTCTCATCCTCAACAATGTCTCAATGACCCTTGCTTTGTTTACATAGAATCTTTGAAATTGATTTCCTGTTTCCAAGTGGATTTCTTTATTATTTTTAGTGTTAGAACAAAATGGCGACGCTTTCGTGGAAATAACTCTCCTCTCAGACATTGCGATGTTCCGTCACGGGTTTGGTCATGTTATCAGAAGGGCCAGTCCCTGGAGAAGGACATCATGCTGGGTAAAGTAGTAGCAGTAGTAGTTGTTGTTATGTGCCATAGAGTCAGACCAGACTCATAGCGACCCCTCCTTCGGTTTCCAAGGCAGTCTCACTACGCAAGTAGATTGCCCCATCTTCCTTCTGAGGAGCGGCTGGTGGGTTTGAACCAACAGCCTGGTAAAGCAGAGGGGCAGCAAAAAGAGGAAGACCTCCACGAGATGGGTTGACACGTGGCTGCAATGGTGGGTCAGGTGTGGTGAGGATCATGAGGATGGAGCAGGAATGGACGGTGTTTTTTCTGTTGAATGTGGGGTTGCTGTGAGTTGGAACAGCCTCAGCGCACCTACCAACAACAACAACAACATCATGGTTTTCATTTTTCTAACATTCTCATTAGCATTATTAATTAAACAGCTCATTATATAGTGCAAAGCATATTTTCCAAATAGGTCTACAGTAAAAGGATTTCCCATCTGGGTAATGTTTGTCCGGGTATTGCCCTGATTAGGTTCGTGGAATTTGGAAGCTGGTAGAAACCATGTAGCCTAACTCTTGGTTTTACTCTTTAGCAAAAATTGTTTGAGTGCCTGCCCACCTCATTAACATCAAGTCGACTCCAACTTATGGCAACTGTATAGGGCAGACTAGGGCTGCCCCATAGGGCTTCCCAGGCTGTAAATCTCCACGGAAGCAAAGTCAAAACCAAACCCACTGCTGTGGAGTTGATGCCAACTCACAGCGCCCCTAGAGGACAGAGTGGAACTGCCCCATAGAGTTTCCAAGGCAGTCAATCTTTACAGAAGCTGACTAACTCATCTTTGTCGGTGGACTGGCTGATGGGCTCAAACCACTGACCTTTTAGTTAGCAGCCAAGTGCCTTAACCACTGCACCACAGAACTTTCTCTTGAGTGCCTGCAGCCACTTGGATCAGTACAGGATACCTGGACAAGGCAAGTTTCCAGCTTTCCAGGAGGTTATGTATGGTAAGGAGACAGGCATCAAGCAACCAGTCATTCATTTATTTTAATCTTAACTATGACAGTGAAGAAGGGGCTGACTGAGTGTTAGGATACCAGCTACAGAGTAACTGCCCCCACTTGGAGGTCCGGGAGGGGTTTTCTGGGGAGGGGCAGTTGGCCTGAGATCTGAGCCCCGAATCTGG